TTTACCCACTAGCTTTAATATCCATTGATGATTTTTACCTGAAATCGACGACTTAAATCAATTTTTGCTAAGATGATTGCAAACGATAGTTACCTAATTCCCTCATTTCTTTTATATTTATTAATCACTAGTCCCCTTTCTTTATTATCCGTATGGACTTGTAGATTCTTATCTTATGTAATGGGTTATAATCCATTACTGTAATTATTTTGATCTTCAAAATGTCCCAGATTTTGCCAGCAAAAGGTCTTTCAAGCCAACTCTCAGATCTACATCATTTTTTGAGCACTTCTTTCCTTTCTGGCATCACAAAATGTTCCAAGCTCATCTCGTGCAAACCTGGAATCAGCCATTTCTCCAAGGAGCCCTGGTTCCCTAGAGCAGGAAATGGTATTTAACATCCAAGATTTGGGCAGTAGGTATGCTCCTTGGTACTGGGGTATCATTGTTTTTAAGTCCTTGTAGCAAAGAGAGCCAGGAAATACGTATATGTAAATAAATGAACACATCTATCCATGTCTATTTCTCCAATTCCAATCCAACACCACAGGGTTCTTCCATTCTCTCCCAAATGTATAGTTTAAATGCCTCCTTTCTCTAACAGGAAGAACCTTGGTTTCCATCAACCTTAATATATTTACTTACTGCTTAATCCCACACACAAAGGAGTTTCAGAGTTGCTACACCCATACCATTGTGAAAACCAAACTTTGTAAGTTGAGCTCAAGATGTACTGAATCTTTTTCAGGACTTATCTTTTAGGCTGAGGGCCAATGGTCAAAGGAGCAGTTTGGGCAAAGGTTCAAATATCACTTGGTTGAGCTATTTATTTCTCTTCAGCATGGTTGTTATACATTTGAAGTATAGGGAGGTTCATTTGTTTCTGTTTATAATTAACTTTTAGGGGGTTTTCTTCATCTTCGTTGGTTGATCTTTTTCAATACATAGAACACTGACATAGTTCCAAAGAGTCCAGTCTTTTGGACAGAAATATGTGCTCAGAAGAGCCTGTCACTCCATTCCCACCCACTTGCTGTAGTTTCTGGTTTATTCTTCCTGTATTTCTTTGTGCAAATTAAGACAAAACAAGACACCAAACCAAACAAAAACAAAAACCCAAAAAAGATAAGCTACAAAGTGTTCCATTATCCCTCCATTTTTAATTTAGTTGGACTATTTTGGAGGGAGCGTGCACTCTCGGTGATGTTATCATCTCCATCCCTGCCTGTCACCTTACCCCAGTCCACTTTTCTCATTTGCTATTCCCACTTGGCCCTGCTGAGCCTTCCTCAGGCCCAGGTGGCTCAGGCACTGACCCTGGCGTGCACGGCCAGCTGGGCAGAGAGAAGAGGAGAAAGGAAGGCTTTGGACTTCCTCTTATTCTGAACTAAGACCTCAAAAATCCAGCTTCACCTCCTAGAGGGAAAGGCCCACGTTTAAGCTGTGGCCAAGCACAGGAACTGGTGCCTGTGTAGACCTGGGTTCCAGGCACAATTCAGCTGTGTGATCTGGGACACATTCCTTACTTCTCTGAGCACCAGTTTTCTCATGTGAATAATGGAGAATTGGACCAGGCTCTTCAAATTCCAGCGGGAAATGAGTCAAATCTGGAAGTTCATGCTATTGTGGCTACCACCTAGTTCCGTACAATGCTGATCATGTGCCTGGGGTGGGTTCTAGGGGCCCAGACGAAGACAAAATCCCAGCTCTCGTGGAGCTTACAGGCTAGAACAACAGGCTCTAAACAAGCATGTGCAGAGATCTGAAATTTATCGAGTAGGAAAAGTGCCAGGAAGAAAAAGAAGGCAGGGTAAAGAATTAGTGATGGGGGCGGCGGGATTTTAGGAAAAATGGTCACCAAAGGCCTCTCTCAAGCAGTGCCCAGACTCAGGTGAGGGACCAAGTCCTGGACAGATCCGAGGGAAGTGTGTTCTGACAGAGGAAACAGCACACGGGAAGATCTTGAGTGGAAAACAGTTTGACATGTTGGAGGACCAGCAAGATGACAGCTATGGTTGGAAGTGTGGTCAGCAAGGAGTGTGAGGTCAGAGAGGTGGAGAGAAGGCCACCTGGGCACCAAGGAGCTGAGAGTCTAATCTGATGATGGGAAGCTTTTAGAGGGGTGACAGCAGGGTCATAACATGATGGGATGTGTTTTTAGAAGGATCCACTTCAGCTGCTATGTAGAGAGTGGACTGGAGGGTGTGTCAATCAAGATCCAGTCAGTGGGGAGGTGGGTGGGGGGATGGGGTAACTGGATGATGGGCATGAAGGAGGGCATGTGATGTAACAGCACTGGGTGTTATACGCAAATGATGAATCACTGAATTCTACCTCTGAAATTAATAATACACTAGATGTTAATTAATTGAATTTAAATAAAGTACATTTAAAAAAAAAATCCAGTCAGCAAAGCTGAAATCACCCTCGGGATTCCAGACAAGGAGAATTTTATAGAGGAGAGAAACAACTATCAAAGGGGATAGTGAGGCAATCCGAAGATTAGCAACAGTAGGAAGTTGCTACCACCGTTGGGCCAGAGGGATAATGGAAGGAAATGGTATTCCACTGCGTTGAGGCCACGATCTCCCTGCAAGCACCCAACCACAGAGGGAGCTGTCCTCCACAGAGGTAGACCCAGAGCCCCAGGCTGAGCATGAGAGGGAAAATGCCTTCTTCGGCTTCCTCCCTCGCTCCACCCTCCAGTCTTCCGCTGCTAACTTCTTTTAGCTGAATATACCCCAAAGCCAACTGGCAAAGGAGTCTGGGAAGTACAATTCCCTGGAAGGCGGAGCACTGGGAAAGACTGGGGAATGGATCTGGGGACAAACAGGCAAATGACCGGCACAAGGTGCAGGAGCAGAGGCTGGGAGACCAATTGGGAGGATGCTGAGGTGTCAGGTGTGAGGTGGTGGCGGCTGGGACCATGGGAGTGGTGGTGGTGAGAAATGGATGGATTCACAGAAATTGATGGGTTGGAGGTGGGGCCTGGGGGAAGGGAGGCATCAGTAAAAACTCCTGAGATGGAGTTTACTGAGCTGGGGGAGACTCAGCCAGGAGCACGTTGGGCAGGGCTACAGAGTCACGGTTCTGTTTTGGACATAGGACATTTAAGGTGTCCAATAGTCAAAGTACTAGGGGAGATGTCGGAGAGGCTGGGGAGAGGAAGGAGTTTCAGATACAAGTCAAGCCATCAGCGTATAGGTGGGGTTTTGACTGGGGACTGGGTGACTTCACCTGGGAGCATATGCCCCATTGGAGTCACATGGCTTTCCCTGAGCCAACCACGTTGGGTGTGGAGGATGCCATACACTGACTGGCCAGGACTGGGTTTTGTGCCTTATCAGGAAAACGGAGGGTAGGGATCTTGCTCATCCAAACCATAAGCCCTGAGAGTTGGGGAGGGGTGGTTTCCTAAAGAAAACTCAGTGTGCTCCTAGGAGAAGGGGACTTGTTTGCTAACAGCAAAAAGAAAACCAAACAAGGGGGCGCCTGGGTGGCTCAGTCGGTTAAGCGTCTGCCTTCAGCTCAGGTCATGATCCCAGGGTCCTGGGATGGAGCCCCGCATCAGGCTCCCTGCTCCACAGGAAGCCTGCTTCTCCCTCCCCCACACCCCCTGCTTGTGTTCCCTCTCTCGCTGTGTCTCTCTCTTGTCAAATAAAGAAATAAAATCTTAAAAAGAAAGAAGGAAAGAAAGAGAGAAAGAAAACCAAACAAATAACAACCTTGAGGGGAACCTGGCTGGTTCAGTAGGTAGAGCATGTGACTCCTGTCCTCGGGGTTATGAGTTCAAGCCCCATGTTGGGTATAGAGCCCACTTTAGATGATAGATACATAGATAGATAGATAGATAGATAGATAGATGATAGATAAAAAGTACTCAGCAAGACATTAAAAAAAAGCAGTTGAGATGGCAACTACACATAAGGTGGGGAGCATTTTGTAATGTACAGAATTGTCGAATCACTATGTTGTACACCTGAAGTTCTGTAATATTGTATGTCAACTATACTTCAATTAAAACAAAAACAGTGGCATGTCTGGGTGGCATGTTAAGTCAGTTAAGCATCTGCCTTCAACTCAGGCCATGATCCCGGGGTCCTGGGATGGAGCCCCACGTCGGGCTCCCTGCTCAGTGGGGAGTCTGCTTCTCCCTCTGCCCCTCACCGCCCCCCCCACCTCATGTTAAAGCTCTCTCTCAAATAAATCAATAAAATCTTTAACAAAACCAAACAAAAACAGCAGTTTCCCCAAGGCCTCCTCTCATTAATTCTACACACTATCATGAAGCACCTATTCTGTGCCAAGCTAATCCCGGTTGAGAGCCTACTAGGCGCCAAGTCCTATGATTTTCCCCTCACCTTACCTAGCCTCGTCTGAGAGAACTAGCCCTCCTGGAGCCCTCACTGCTCCAGCTCTTGTATCACTGGTACCTCAGTTTCCCCTCAGGACAAAGGCTGAATGATCTGATTATGCCCACTAATGGAGATGAGAGGGGAGGGCATGTGGGGGCCTGCTTCTTGCCCCAGGGAAAGGCAGAGCAGGGTCGGGCTGACTCCAAAGCCCACATTCTGATGTCCTCAGTCTAGACTCCAGCCTGTGCCTGCTCTGGGCCTCCCTCCAGAGGCACCCCCAGCACGTCCACAGCACAGCCTCCAGCCAGCAGCCGGCAGCTGCTAGGACCCAGGGGGCTGGTGCCAGGCCCTGCTCCTCCCTTGCCGGCTCTGTGTGTCTCTGAAGGGCAACATCAGAGTGTCAGCCAGTACCATCTCCAGCAGAGGCTGAGTTGCCGGGGCAGAGGAGAGAGCTGAAGTCCCAGCCTTGCACCTCTCCATGCAGCCGGCCAAGCCCCTATGACAGGATGGCAGCCTGGGCAACGGAGCCGGCGCCGGGGCAGCCTCTGAGGCGAAGGGCCAGAGGAGCAAGGGACAGGTGATGGGAAGGGGGGGTGGGGGTTCGCTCTCTGCAGCCCAGCACAGGGTGAGGCCTGAGGCGCTGGAATGGCCAACACCACAGGGCTGAACACCTCAGAAGTCGCGGGCTCGGTGGGGTTGATCCTGGCGGCCATCGTGGAGGCAGCAGCACTGCTGGGCAACGGCGCGCTGCTGGTCGTGGTGCTGCGCACGCCGGGACTGCGCGACGCGCTCTACCTGGTGCACCTGTGCGTCGTGGACCTGCTGGCGGCCGCCTCCATCATGCCGCTGGGCCTGCTGGCCGCGCCGCCGCCGGGCCTGGGCCGCGTGCGCCTGGGCCCCGCACCGTGCCACGCGGCGCGCTTCCTCTCGGCGGCGCTGCTGCCCGCCTGCACGCTCGGGGTGGCCGCGCTCGGCCTGGCGCGCTACCGCCTCATAGTGCACCCGCTGCGGCCCGGCGCGCGGCCTCCGCCGGGCCTGGTGCTCACGGCCGTGTGGGCCGCCGCGGGGCTGCTGGGCGCGCTCTCCCTGCTGGGGCCGCCGCCCGCGCCGCCCCCTGCCCCGGCGCGCTGCTCCGTCCTGGCCGGCGGCCTCGGGCCCTTCCGGCCGCTCTGGGCGCTGCTGGCCTTCGCGCTGCCCGCCCTCCTGCTGCTCGGCGCCTACAGTGGCATCTTCCTCGTGGCGCGCCGCGCGGCCCTCCGGCCCCCACGGCCCGCGCGCGGCTCCCGGCCGCGCTCCGACTCTCTGGACAGCCGCCTCTCCATCTTGCCGCCCCTCCGGCCTCGCCTGCCTGGGGGCAAAGCAGCCCTGGCCCCAGCGCTGGCCGTCGGCCAGTTTGCTGCCTGCTGGCTGCCTTACGGTTGTGCGTGCCTGGCGCCCGCTGCGCAGGCTGCAGTGGCCGAGGCGCCGGTCACCTGGGTGGCCTACTCGGCCTTCGCGGCTCACCCCTTCCTGTATGGCCTGCTGCAGCGCCCCGTGCGCAGGGCACTGGGTCGCCTCGCCCGCCAGGCGCTGCCCCGGCCCCCGAGGGCCTGGCACCTGCCAGCACTTCTGCAGCACCTCCAGGGCCGTTCAGAGAGCCCTGCCCTAGGCCCTTCTGAGGCACCAGAACAAGCCCCAGATTTGCCAAGAAGGCAGAGCCTGAGTATGCCAGGGGCCACCTGAGAGGAGATCTGTGTCCCATGCTGAGCTGAGACTGGAGAAGGGATGGTGGTATCAGCAGCCCATCCAACCTCCTACACAGTTCCGGGCAGGTACCCTGCCTGGATTTCTGGCTCTGGAACAGGAGAAGGGGGGCCTGCAAGCTAGTGAGAGCCAGAGGATTCTGGGAGCTAAGAATCCTGGGTTCTGGGTCCTACCCTGCAGAGTCTTGTATACAGACCCACCCTTCCCTAGGCCCGTTTTCCCATCTGTATCCTGGACCATCTCTAAGGGTTCCTCGGACACTCATGGATAGTCCCCAGGCTAAAGAAGGTGAGGAGGTGGGCCGGATCACCAAGAAGAGGGCCCTAAGGGCTTACAGCCAAAGGAATGGACCAAGCAGGGCAAGGCCTAGGGAACAGCCACAGCAGGAGGAACCAGTGGAGAGACACTCAGAAGGACTTCCCTGATATCTGCACCAAGAAGAGGTGGGACAAAGCTACTGGAACTCCTCTGCCAGCTTCTAAAATGCCCAGAAAGCAACTGGATCAGTGTGGTGCCGGAGGCAAGAGGCTCGACAACATGACCCCCAAAGGGCCCTGGAGCCCCAGAACTGGCGGGTGGAAGGGCCCAAGACCCAATGGGGACTGGTAGATTCACAGATGGGGTCCTGCAGGGACTTGGCCACACCCGTTCTCTGGAGGTTTTGCCAACACCCACAATGTTTCACAGCTTCCTGGTCTCTGAGAATATTTATTCAAAAACAGGGATTGAAAAAACTGTACAGAGTGTCTGCTGCTGAGAATTCGGCCCCTGCCTCCATGCCACTCCCCCAGCTGCCCAGCAGGGTCCCCTCTTTGGGTTGCCCTCTGCCAAGCCCAGCTAGTCCATTCCAGTCAAAAGGGTATCAGTGGAAGCAGCAGGAATCTGCAGGGAGGTGGGGAGAGAAGCATGGCCCCTAGCCACCCCCCAGCCCTTCTCCCTGATCCCCATGGGGTGGGGGGGCAGTAGGCTGCAAAGCCCTAAGGGATGAGGAGTACATGAGTGACCCTCTGACGTGGGGGCACTAAGGATGCTCCCTGCATCCAAGCATAGAGCTAGAGGGGGTGGAGCCCCCTACCCTGGGGCAGCTGTGGCTCCCAGTCCCTGGGCCAGAAACTGCTCCCACTGCGAGAGGAGGAACTCTCCCACAGACCCGGGTTGGGTGGTGGTGTGGGGGGGGGGGGGGTGCATCCATGCGTCTGGGCATTAGTGGCGTTTGGGAGCCCAGGGTGGAGCCTCCTTGGGCAGGTAGGGTGCAGAGGCAGCCCCCTACCGGCGGTCCTGCCTGCCCCTGCGCCTGTGCCTCAGCCAGCCTCAGTAGGGGGAGAATTTCTGCCGCTCAGCTTTCTTGCTCCCATTGGCTGCTGCCATCTTGGCAGTGTAGGCCGCCAAAGCCGGCGGCGGCCCTGGGGAGGCAGGTGGTAGGGCCAAGAAGGGCACAGGCTTGAGGCCGATGAAGTTGGAGAGGGAGATGGCATAGGGTGTACCCAGCAGGCCTGGGGGAGCTGTGGGCAGGGCCGTCAGGGGCGGCGAGAAGGGGGCAGGCAGGTCTGTGGGGGCCGAGCCGGGCGTCCCCCCAGAGGTAGACTTGGCCGTTTCTAGACTGGAGAGAGGGATAAGGGGGGAGATGAAGGGAACGGGGCGGGTAAGAGAGGGGGCAGTGAGGGCAAATACGGGGAGGGGGGGTTGGATGAAAGAGAGGGATCGAGAATAACGACATGAGGTGGATATTGGGGGGAGGATGGGAATGGCGGAAGAGTGGGGGTCAACAGGGGAAGAAAAGACAAGCAGGTATGGGACTCGGTGAGGGGGGGTACGGGGAGGCCGAAAGCCAGGGGAAAGAGACAGGGAAGGGGTAAGGGAAAAGAAGACATGAGGGATGGACGTGGAGGGGAAGATGGGGCCCCGTGGAGTAAGGCAGGGTTCGGGGAGGCAGAGGACACACCCCAGACAGAGACAGAGAAGGGAGATCAGCTCTCCCCGCCCCAAGTGTGCCTTTCACGGGCACGTAAGCCCCGTGACCTGGGCCACCCCCACCCCACACTCACCAGGCAGTGATGAGGTACTGGGCCAGGGCGATGGAGACAGGGGAACCAGTGATGGTCACGTGCCTCTCGCCAGCACCTTCTGCTTGGTTCCCGATCTTGATATGTGCCCCTGACATCTGCCGGATCTCACTGATCTTGCTGCCCTGGCGCCCAATCACGCAGCCAATCAGCTGCAGGGAGAGTGGAATTCAACCCTGGGCCAAGCCCAGACCCCAGGAAGCACCCCCCCCAACCCTCAAACCACCCCATCCTCCGCTCACGTCATTGGGAACCAAGAACTCCTGTGAGCTGGTCTGCGCGCCAGGATCCAGTCCTGGGAAGGAGGAGAAGAGGGATTGGACATGGTTCTGGGCCTTTCCTGCCGCCCCATGTACATTCCAGGGGGGTGCTGCCTGGCCCCCCAGGGGTGTCGCCCCTGCCTCCTTCTGCAGGGTCGCTCACCTGGCACCATGCTGGGGGAGGCGAAGGGGACCGCGTGGCCTGAAAGCTGCTGGAGCTTGGTGACCTGTGCCAAAGAAGAGGGGTCAGAAGTCAGAGGAGGCCTGGTTTTCGGAAGGGGTACCTGGGGCTATGGTCACTCACCTCGGCGGGGGTCACAGCCCCATACTGACCCTGGACAGAAAAACCCTGTGGGGACAAAGTGGGGGGAAAGGGGGCTACTGTGACAAGTCAGAGCAATTTGGCCAGTCACTCCGCCCCACTGCCAGCCCCCGACTCCTTCTTCCATCCCTCCCCCATCTCAATCCCCCTTCTCCAGGAATGCTTCCTACCCCTCCTACTGTTTCACCTCACCTGGTTGGCAGAGAGAAGGACGGTACCTAAGGAGAGGCTCGGATGATATGGGATAGTAGCTCCTTTAGGTGGGGACTGGAAGGCACAAATGGGGGAGGCTCTATCAGACCCCTCTAGGCCCCTCTGACCTCCCCAAGGGCCCTGTGTTCCCAAGGCCCTTGGCGATGACCCCCAGGTAAACGCATCCCAGGATCCAGAGCTCCCAGTCCATCCCTGCGGCCCTGCCCTGCCTCCACCTGGTGCCACATGCATAGGGTTAGGGGACCTGAAAAGGAGACCCGGGGCCCATCCCCATCCCTTCTCCCTGCACCGAGGCAGCACCTCCAGGATAACAGCGCAGATCTGGCGCACACACAGGATGATGGCATCAGGCACCCCGGACACGGTGACAGCACGCTCTGTAGAGTTGGGGAGCAGATCTCCTGCCACCTGCACCTGGGCACCCGTGGTCTGCAAGCAGAGAACAGGGGCCACTTCTGGCTGCCCTCATAACCCAGACTAAGCTGCCCAGACTCCAAGCTCCCCAGGGGGACAGGAAGCCATAAGCCCAGGTCCCCTCTCTAAAGTGAAGGGTAGGACCCCCTGAGGGTGGTATCCCCCTTCTCCTCACCTCTCGAATCTCCTTGATCTTGGTGCCGGCCTTCCCAATCAGTGAGCCACACTGGCTTGCGGGGATGACGAGGCGCAGGGTCACCGGGGGCCTGGAGACACTTCCACCATTTGCAGGAGCGGCGCAAAGGTCCTGGGCAGGAAGACCATGATTTGGCTGTGCATGCCCCTGCTGCTCCCCCACCCCTGGGAGCACCTTCCTGCTGGGGTTTGAAGGAGAGAAGCCCTCCCCAGGTCCCACCCTAATGAAAGAACCCTGCCCCCGCCCCCAGCCTTGGCCTTCCCTGCCACCTGCAGCCGCTGTGTGGAGTCAGAGCCCTGTTTCCCCGGCCCAGGGAACCGGCCCAGGGAACCAGCCCCGGCCTCCCAGCCCAGCCCAGCCAGCCACGGACCTCATCCAGCTTGAAGGCAATCATGGAGACCGCATGGAAGACAGCAGCTGTAGACCCGGTAATGGTGGTGATGCGCTCAGGGCAGGAGCCCTCAGAGATGGTGATCCGGGCACTGCTCTGCGGGGACACACAAGGCCGGGCAGTGGGGCTCCTTCTCCACTTCCTTGCCAGGAGCCTGTCTGCCTACCCACCCACCAGGCCCCAGCCCACTGCCAGAAACCGCTACCTTCCAAGGGCACTCATTGGTCATCCCAAATGGTGGGGTTCAGGGAAAAGGTGGGGCAGGGATCTCCCCTCCCCTCCAAACCAGATGCCCTGGGCAGCTCTCCCAAACTCCATCCTCACCTGCTCCCGGATTCGCTTTACAGTCTCTCCTTTCTGTGGGACAAAAAAACATGGAATGGCTCTTAGCCTGAGCCGTCACTACCTCCTGACCTGGCCTGAGGCCTCAGGCTGAGGTCCACACAGAACAGCACTGGGCACCTACCTTCCCAATTATGCTGCCAACCTCCTGCAAACAAGACAAGAGTTGAGTCAGGGGGGACCAATGCCCCAGGCCCAGCCCGTCCACCAGGACAGGGGATCTAACAGAGACAGGACACAGGAGCTCAAACTCCTGGCCGGCCACACCGGACCGTGCCCCCCACCCACTCACCTTCCCATGCATCAGCATCCGCAGTGTGAGGGTGATGCTGAGCTCCGGCTCCTCCTCCAGCCCCGCGTCTGAGCCGCTCATCCTGTCAAGCGGGGCTGGGGCCACAGCGGCCTAGGAGTGTGTCCACGGTGCCTGGCGGCTCTGGTGGGGGCAGCAAAAGGGGGATTAGAGGGGAGCTCCCATCTCTTTTGGGTCCCCTGCCCTTACATGGGGACCTCAGAGTCAGACTGACCAAATTCCCACAGAAGAGAGACAGCGTAGACCCCCAGTTTCAAGTGTCACACTGATGGGTATCCTTGTGTGCCCCTCCCTTGCTGGGTAACCCTGGACAGCTCATCTTACCCATCGGAGCCTCCGCTTCCCCATCGGTAAGAAGAGACTACCAGGTTCTACCCCCAAAGAGTTATGAGAATTAGAATGAGCTAAGCACACATGTGGTAGGCAGCCAGTCTCCATGGACATCCTTCCCTTTCCTGCGTGCATTAG